TTCTTTGGTTGCTGAATCTGAGGAAATGAGAGATGAGGCTCCTGATCTGTCTTCCTGACATTGACTCACCATGGATTCTTACGAAATCATTTTGCATTTCTAATGTACTTGTTTTTCAAGATGCTCAGAAGTATCTAGTAAAATTGAGTAGCTGCATTTGTTTTGATAAGTGCAGATGCCTTCATTAGCTTTTTAAATTAACTTTTAACAGTCTAGAGGAGTAGAATTGCACCATGTCTGTAACCTTCCAGAAAATTGCCATATGACCGTCTCTTGGTCTGTAGAAGTTGGGGAGGGTGGAAGTGTTTGAAGTACTGTTTGTATTAACTATTCCAACATAAATTGCTTTTTGGGTATGCTTGGAGCACTACACCCAAAATATACTATGAAGTCTTCCTCATTTAGCGTGAACTTACTCTATTTAAGATTCAGGTAGACTCAAAAAAGGAATGGGGAAAAAGAGAAACACTTGAAATTAGGGATGTTAAATATTGGTAATTAATAGTTGATTAACCTCATGAATTCTTATTGGTTAGTCAACTATTCTGTAGTGTCCGGGGCAGGGCACGCAGCCAGTATGCGCCAGCCTCGCTCCTAAAGAGCCACCTGTCACTCCGCACTGCTGCTTCTCTATCAGAAGGTGCCAGGCGGGAGCTGGTCCATGAGGGGAGCCAGTTTAAAAACCAGCTCCCCTTGCAGACTGGCTGCCTGTCACCCTGTGCTGCTACCTCTGATAAAGAGGTATCAGCAGCCCCTGTCTAGGGAGGAGTTTGAGCTCCTGGACCTGGTGAGAGCCAGAACTGAGCCAGCCAAGCTGCCTGCCTACCCAATTCTTAATACACTTTAAATGCAGAGAGACAGCAGGAGTAGGTCCTGGACCCATTTCAAAGCTGGACTGCTGTCCAGTCTGCTAAAAAATTTACTGAGAAGCAGGGGAGGGAAATGCGGGTAGTCTTATAGCATGGGTGACCAACCTGTGGCTCCAGAGCCACATGCAGCTCTTCAGAAGTTAATATGCAGCTCCTTACATAGGTTCCAAATCCAGGACTGGAGCTACAGGTACTAACTTTCCACTGGGCCAGGGGGTGCTCACTGTTCAACCACCAGCTCTGCCCTAGGTGCTGTCCCCCTCCACCCTTTTCCCCCTAGGATCCTTCCACTTCCTACCCTCTCCACTGACCCTGTCACAGTCATGCTTCCTCCCTTCAGTGTCTCCCACGGAGAGAGAGCTGATCATAGTGGGCTGGAGGAAAAGGAGAAGGAGGCACTGACCAGTGGGGCTGTCAGTAGGCGTGATGTGCTGAGAGTGATAGTGGGGAGAAGATATGGGCTGATGATGTAACTGTTGCTCTTTGGCAATGTGCACTGGTAAATTCTGGCTCCTCAGGTGTGAATTGGCCACCCCGTCTATAGGATTAACCTATAAGCTTTTGCTTATCAGTTAATCGAATACACTATTACATCCCTACTGGAAATGCTGCACAATAATCATATATGACTGTACTGATACACCCATATAAGCCTATACCTAGGTATGGCTTGCTGACTTTTTTCATGGCTAAGTATTAGTGTTAACAGTCTTATTGTATTAGTATTAAGGATGTTAAAATGCGGTTAATTGACTAGTCAATGGAATTTCTGTTGACTAGTCAATAGGTACTTCCATGTTCCTCCTTTGAAATGTACAAGAGCCCCTGCTGAGTCTATTGTACATTTTAAAGGAAAAATCCGGACCTGCATGTACAGCCCGGGGCCAACGGGAAGTCCTGCTGACTCTGGGCTGCACGCGGAGTGCCTGCTTTGAAATGCACAAGCGTCCCCAGCTGGGGCTCTTGTCCATTTCAAAGTCACGGAGCCCGAGGTCAGCGGCAGACTCTGTCGTCAGCTGACCCTGGGCTCCATGCTATGCTGTATGCCACTAGGAGCCCAGGGTCAACTGAGGGGCGGCCAGCTTGAGGTTTCAAAGTGGCTGCAGTGCCATTGAACAAGGTAAGAAAGAGGGGGAGGGAGGGGGGGGGGGCGGGATATCGATTAGTCGGCTAGTCAAAAGACTATATAATAAGCAGGGCTTGACCAACCCCAGCAAGAGCTACTCACCAGCCCCGGACTGTGCATGCGCCTGACCGGCACTGCACATGCGCGAAGCCCCAGTGAATGGGGCGCACAGAGCAACCGGCTGAAATCTACTCGTCATGGACGAGTGGATTCAGTGGTTTGTCAAGCCCTGCCAATAAGCAAATGCTTATCGGATAGTCTACTAGTCTTTAACATCCGTAACTGGGACAAGGAATAAGGAGCTAAAGCATAGAACATATAAAGTAGTATAACAAATAGTTAATATCACAGATAAATTAATATTTTCTCACCTAAAGTGATGCCTGAATTCTGCTTCCAAAGTGGTGGGGCAATAACTATTAACTCAAATTACAGTACTTTTGAATTACCTCTGGGATCTTTGCTCAGGTACGTTTGCTGTATCGACATTGACACATGCTTATGCTTAGCAGCTTTGCCAACATTTCCAGTGCTTGCTGGTCTTTTAGAAGGCATATTTAAGGGGTAGATTAGAATACCAGCACAGAACACTGAGAGCAAGTTCTGCCAGCTATGAACAAATTATCCATCTGCAGGAAATTTGGCCTCATCCACGATAAGCTGACATCTGGCTGACTGAAATCATGTCTCCCCCCCACTCCTTTGCCAGACGAGAGTGTGCCAGAGTAGAGAGGTTCAACTTGTATTTCTTTGATTATGTAGTCATTCAATTACATTTTCAGTTCAAATGCTACATGATTTAAACTTAGGCACTTCAGAGTGCCTTGTTGAGTAAATAGTCTTTCAAATCTCAATAAAGAGGCTCTCAGAGCAACTGGCCTCCTGATACTATCTTAGGGAAATGTGGTTGTATGCTGTTTTTCAGGAATTCATGTCAAAACATACTGGAAAGTTTATTTTCCTTGTTTATATATTGAAAAATTATTAAAATTAGCTATATTTGTTGCATTGCCTTTATTTGAAAGAGACCATGCTGGATGCTTGAAAATTTGAAATATAAGGAATTTCAAATTTGTCCGGTAGGCTCTTTATTTAATGACACAAGATCAAAGTTCTTGTATATTTAATGGTACTGTGTGTTAGCATTTTTTAACAGGAGTTGGTGTACACTTATTGAAGTGATAATATATGAGTAGTTTAAAAATAATGTTTTTCCAAAACTACTCTGGATCAATTTGAAAGAATGGTTGAGTTGGAATGAAAGACAAGTATTTGTCCGGTAGGCTCTTTATTTAATGACACAAGATCAAAGTTCTTGTATATTTAATGGTACTGTGTGTTAGCATTTTTTAACAGGAGTTGGTGTACACTTATTGAAGTGATAATATATGAGTAGTTTAAAAATAATGTTTTTCCAAAACTACTCTGGATCAATTTGAAAGAATGGTTGAGTTGGAATGAAAGACAAGTACAGGCAGTGTCCGACTTACGCCCCGTTCGTAAGCCCCGTTCGTAAGCTGCTCCGGTGCCCCTGGTCTGCTGGAGACCGTCTCCAGCAGACCAGGGGCACCGGGCAGGTTCCCGCGCTTCTGAGGCTTTGCCAGAGCAAAGCCTCAGAAGCGCGGGGAACCGCCGCCGCTGCCCCCTTCAG